AATAGGATCTGAAGTTATTGGTTAAGGAATTCCTTTCTCAGCTGCACATGAGTAATTCACAGAATCCCAGCAGTGCAGGGGTTGGAAGGGGCCTCAAGAGATCATGGAGTCCAACCCACTGTTAAAGCAGTTCCCTACAACAGGTCACATAGGTTGGCATCCAGACAGGTCTTGAGTATCTCCATAGAAGAAGATTCCACCATCTCTCTGGGCATCCTGTGCCAGTGCTCCATCAACCTTACAGTAAAGAAGACCTTCCACATGAGTTCCACAGAACTTTCTATGTTCAAGTTTCAGGCCATTGCTCCTTGTTCTATTGCTACACACCACCAAGAAGAGCCTGGTCTCATCCATTTGCCTCCCACCTCCCTTTAGATATTAATAAACAGTGATCAGATCCATGGTACAACTGTATTAGGTCTTGCAGAGTGATGCCAATAGGGAATTTTGTACCACGTATTAATTCTTTCATTGCTTGATTCAAAAATAAACTGTAGGTGTTTGGTCAAATTCATGCTCGTCACGCCAACTCATTTGTTAGATTAACTGAAAATAACACTTTGATGAAAAGCAAAGAAAAATGACTCTCACAGACTTTCATTTATTTAATTAAGCATCTTCTTCAGTCCTCCATCAAAACATAGCTGCTAAGGTGAAGAAAAAGCTGCAGTATGGCTCAGCCTCTCCTCTCCACATCAGACCTCATTCCCTCCTGTCTGCAGCTTTGAGTCCCAACATTTCCACACAGAGGATGTTCTCCAGACTGACAGATTGGGCAATTAGTTAATTTCACTTGCCTGGATCTTATCTATTTACACTAAATTATAATTTTTTTTTTAATTCAATCTCTTCATGTCTAGGTACAGTGCTTTTTGAATTTCTTAAAGATACCTGCAGGCCCCAAAGCAAACCACTAGCATTGTTTTCTTTTTATTTTTTTTCTGTTTAACTCCAGTTTTGGTACAGTTATTGCTTTATTTTGCTTTCTCAATCTTTTGACTAGCTGATTTAGATTGCAGAGAGGATTCCTATTAGTGTCACAATCTTTTCCAGCAGAGAAACTTTCCAAAATTATAGCCTTACAGCTCAAATCCTGAAAAGAATGCATTACATTACTTCTAGCAGAGTTCCAGCAATTTCCAAGCAAAAAAAAACCCAAAACTAAACAGTTACCTCTTTATTCATCTGTAATTCCTGTATGTTCCATAAAAAACGAAAACAGTTCTCTGGGGCTTCTGTAAAGGCCACATTTTTATCATTTTTAAGAAAGCTCAACATTCCTATTCTTCTGCCTGTTTCAGCCCATATTAGTTTCTCAAGGTTACCACTGTAAGAGCACAGGACCTTATCACTGCTCACATCACATAACACCTCTGCCAAGAGCTCGGAATTCAGTTCATAATCATTCACGGAGAGGCCCTTTAATTGCTGTGTGGGCAGCTCTTCTCCTACCAAATATCTGCTTTTGCAGCAAAGTAATAGACTTGCATTTTGCTCTCTGTGCATGTTGTTTATTTCCCTGTGCTCTCCTACGTGAGGATGCAGAGATGTTCATTTCTGGGGGTTGCTACCTTAATCTAAGTCAACTGCAGTGATGGGGCTCGATATATTCTTGGGGCCTGAAATCCCTGCATTAGCAGCTTGATGAAACAAATGTAGGCCTGTGATTCAGAAAAAAAAAGTAAATACAAAGTTTCTTCCCACTCGTAATTTTGCCATTTGGATTACTGCCCAGATAATTCATTTGAAAACCAAATCCAACCTAGCAACTGTCTTGAAAATTGAGTAACCTCAGGTTCAACTGTATTAAAAAACTTCAGCTTCAGGCAAAACTGATGGAACAGCTCATTCACAGCATTTTCACCAAGCCCTGGCCCTCATTTTATGTTTTTCTTATTACACATACATTGTGTCACAATTTACCGGCAGCAGAACTGAATTGCCACTAGCTGACTCTGCCCACATGCATTCAGCTTCATCGACAGCTAAAGACGCATGGCTCACTGCATACTCATTGCTGGATTGCCATTTCTCAGCTGTTAAAACAGCTGCATGAACAGCAACAAGTTTCACAACTTAAAATAGACGTAGCCCTACAGGATACTTGGGCTCAGGGATGATCACAGATCACATCAGCGGGCTGGTAGAAGCCGGGGACGTGGTATTTTTGCACTCAAGCATGGCACTACCATAAGTGTGTAAGCTACATTAGCATTCAGTCTGTAGCACAAGTGTGTTTTTGTAACGTCTCTTGATCATTGCCACTTACCACATATTGGTTCACGTCACAGAATGGTGTTGAGATGGATGAACCCAATTCCTTCGGATGGAGAGAGACCAGAAATGCACCACTAGTCCAGCTAATGGTACATGGGACCAAGCAATAGGTAGTGAAAAGCAAACCCTGAAATGCACATTGTGCATTTTAGGTCTTTGGCACCAAGTATTTTGTTCGGCTCATCTGCTCTTCCCAGCCCAAACTGGACTCTAAAAGTACAAAGAGCTGAACATATCTATCTAGCTTGCAAATCAGGCAGAAATTCATGCCATAAATCTTGAAGTTGGCTAGTTTCTACCCTCAGTAAACAAAACCAACTCCTTCGCAATAACGATCGTTCCTTGCTTTAAAACAAAACAAAAAAATCAAGCAAACACGTAGTATTCTATTTGGAAGGCCATTCTTCATTCCCTTCTGGGTCAGCTGAAAAAAGGCATTCAAGACCACATACTCAATTATACAGTTGACAAACAAATAAACTACCCCAGTTTCTATTTGTTTGCAGTGCCAGAAAGCCAAATGGTCATTCATACTGAGTAAACTCACTTATTGAGGTTACCATAGTTCTAATATTTACGAGGGACATGGCTAGTGGGTATGATGGGGATGGATTAGGGTTAGATTTGATGATCTTAGAGGTTTTTTCCAACCTTAATGATTTTATGATTCTCAGATTGTAGTCCATCCCCTATTTGGAACATTCAGATGACCATCACGGAAAAATCAAGCTTTATTCCATCCCCACTTTTTTTAATCTGCCAGGTGTAAAGAAATGCATGCCTGCCAAAAGAATTTGGCATTTGCTTTAAATTAGTGAAATAATAAGGAAACTGCATTTCCTTAAAATAATGTAATGCAAAGCATTTAATATGAAAAGGGATTCCTGAACATACTGTTTGCTCAGTGTGTTTCCAATTCAACCATTTTACTGCTGCTGCAATTCCATAGTAGATAATACTGTCGATATTGTTGTTGATAATACAAGAAAATACTATGTAGAAACTGTATTTCCTCTAGGAATTTCAGTACATATTTGCTCTGGCTCCTTAGCTGGCAACACAGTCCCTTCCTTCCTCCTCCATTAGTGCAAAAATGAGCTCTACATGTGACCACTTACAGAGTTGTGCCTAATTACATAAATGCACTAATTATACAGACTTTTGAAATGGTGAGAGACTTCAAAGTAGGTAAATTTTATATTGTGCTATTAAAAAGATCTATTTGATGATGGAAAATTCTGTAGTATCATATTGCAATCTCCTGCATTGTAATTTTGCTTTCAAGTCGGTATTAATTTAATGACAAATAACTGCAGAGAATAATAGATTTGGGAAAGCAAACTGAAAGCTGGAAGATTTAGAGTGAGATAGTGGTCAGCAGATGCTAATAAATGGGAACAAAAAACAATTTGGAAAAGTGATGGATCTCAGGTAACCAATGAGTAGAAAGAAGTTCAGCATGATAAATATGAATACCAAGCCTTCAGAAACTGCTCTGCTAATAGATGTACACCTGAAAGACCGATTGTCCCCATGCATTCAGCTCCTCACAAGAAAACATATATGCCATTGAAAATTTGATTTATATGCAGAGTTATCCCATTGCTAGGAACAAATTGCGGATTAGTTATCTGTAGTTCATCCCTTTGCACACAAAATAATGCCAACAGTCCTGCAAACACAGATTAAGCTCAATGATCAACCAACGTCATATATGTGCTTATAAAAACCAAGCTGCTGCACAAGAGCACGTGCACCTCCTTCCGTGCCTTGATGCCTGCCTCTGATTGATACAGCCTTACTCTTCAAAACAGATCTCTTTGTTTTAACATTAAATATTCACCAAATCCCCACATCTTTAATAATGCTTACATGGGATCATAGTACAAGTGAATGTATGAAAGCTCATAGTACCATCTAATAGTTTATCTGTCGCACAGATGCCCTAGGTGAGTAATTTATTTCCTGTAAGTTACATGAAGTCATATTTTTTTGCAGCAGAAACTGGATGTTGCCTTGCAAGACCACTAGACAGATCAGACAGAAATTATAATGCAGCAACACTAAAGGACACAGTAATCTCTCTGCCTTTAGTTAAACCCAGGCCTATTATAGCTTACGGATAGCAGGGGATAGACAGAATTCATCTTCACTGAAAAACAAGACTGTGAGTAGGAAAGGTAAATCAAATAATCATCCTTCTCTCACACGTCGAAACAAACGGCCTTCTGAAGTCACTGAACGCCACATTTAAACAGAGGAATTTGGGGAATAAAAGCATCTCAGAACCAGCAGGTAGGAAATCCTAAGATCCCAAGTTGACATGTTGAGGAGGACTTTTCCCCAAAGTTCAAGAACTCTTGGGTCTGAGACATTGGCTTCACCCATCAGAGGAGCCCAGATGCCCATACTTCAGTAGCTTTAAGGACACCAAGTTTTGCTCTGAGGAGCCCACATGAAAAAAGTCTCTGAAAGAAGTTAAATTGTCTCTGTACGAGTTACTGAATATTTTCTTTTTGCATCAAGTTGTCACGCACACAAACAAGCTTCTTCATAACAGCTGGAATTTAGAACAAATAAGATTCAACTTCAGTATTAGACTGAGGACCTTCAACATCAACATGGAGAAAGCACATGGCATGAGAAGTGATGCTGTGCCTATGAGAAATCTCCTTGACCTCTGATCAATATGGAAAGCAATGCCACACTCTGCCCAACATTACCTTTTGATATTCTTCTTTAGATTTCAAGGCAGCTTCCATCTGTTCCTGGGAAAAGGTGTAGATGGCTGAACGATACTGAGTGCCAACGTCATTACCTTGCCGCATTCCTGGAGAAAGAAAATCACCCCATGAGGATCCTGCTCATAAGTGAATGCATTGCAACACGTCAGCCTAGCAGACTCAAATTTAGGACTTTCCATTCTCCTGGGTTAGCATTCTCTCGTGTGCATACTCCAAAGGTGTTTTTAGAAAGACCAAGTGTTTCTTTAGTTGAATAGTCCTGCGGAGATTCAATTCTAATGTCTCCTTTGAAATGATGTGCAAATGAAATGTGAGCATTTTACATTTTGGTAAACCACCCAGTAGTCAAATACAGATATAAAACCTCAAATAATCAAGCTGCAGTTACCGTAATCAAGGTACTTTTAAAATATTTGTTTTGAACCATGCAAATGCTATAAATAAAACTTTGATTTTACCAAGTGCTTAAACATTTTCTTGTGCTGGAGGATTACATCTTAATGAGAGAAATATCCAAGGAGATAACTACCTATTCTTTTCTATTCATAAACCATCACTCCCGATTAAAACTAGTATGCACACACTGCTGAATTACTTTTGGAGCAAAGTTATTAATCCATACCATCACCACCATTACTTATGAAGAGAAGAAATGTTTCTTGTGAAGTCTGAACTCCAAAAAGGACTTTGATAGAGAAATGTGCTAAGAAGGTTGGAAGAAAGTATGGATTTTAGAGTGAGCAATGCTTAGGAACAGCAACCCTTAAAGTTTTCTGGTGTCTGTAGAAAATACAGCTCTCTACTAAATTCTATTTGCAACCCACGTGCGATAATATGGATGGCAGAAGTATATAATACTTTTTATATTTAACATTATGAATAAAAACCTCATTGTACATACTCACCAAGTCCCAGAAACTACGCCGTAAATACATAACTTTGGTACAAGGTTTAGCCCATTTATTGCTGATGTATGTGCTCTCTTTTCAAAAACCTAGTTGCATGAAGTTGTTCACGCACTTATTTCCAAATTCAGAGCTAGATTCTACCTACAAAACTATACAATAAAGGGTCTTATTCTCTTAAGTGGCTGCCCAGACAGAGCTTGGCATGATGCAGTCATAGGGAGCTGCAATGGACAAAGGCATTGCTGCCTCTCATCACTGTCCACTCCCATTCCCTCAGGCAGCAATTCTGGAAGCCAGTTTTGCTATGGATCATTCCATAAATGCTTTAGCATTAAGCATTATGGCTGATCTAGAACTGCAGTTTTGCAGTTTCAGTCTTTCATAACCTTGTTTCCAATCATGCATTTGGAAAAAAAACAAACAAACAAGCAAACAAAGAAACAAAAAACCTTTCGCTTTTGCTGCAACAAAACTTATTTATTGAACTCGAGTGAGTGAAAAACCCATCTCTGAAGCAGAATCAAAGCTGATTATTCCCAAATATCCAAATGTCTACAGCTCAAGACAAAGTAGAAATCATTAGGACTCATCTCTGGACTGTTATAGACTGCAGAAGTCCCTCTGAAGATCAGCATCAACTTGTCAGGACTACGGAGAAAATGAGACACAGAAATATCTTAAAGGATTCATTTGAACTAAAAGTCCATTCAATAACCAACAACACTTATGTGTGAAAGTGATTCTGAAAAATCCTATGGAGCTTTCACATTATTTGGGTAACGCTTCAAGCACTAAAATGTTATATTACTACACATAGGAACAACGGTTTTCTTCATCATAACTTAATAGCATGCTCTGCAGGGCACATAATATTTTCCTTGTTTATTTACAAGTTATTTTAGGATGGTAGAGAGTGACTACGAAGCCAGTGCTATGGAATAATTTTGGCATAAAATGAATACAGGGCAGCTAAGCATTAGTTTTGCCAGGATGTGTTAATGGCGATTTATGTTTGTGCTGAAGCATTAGCATTCTACAGATCTATTTATTGCTTAACAAACTACTTGAGAACTGACCGGGGAGTAGATAGCAAAAATCTCTGTAAAAGGACGATCACTACATGGTGTGACAGTTTCTAACATGTATTCCAAGAGTGCATTATAGTATGAGTTCCTGTTCATGGTACTCTGAGTGAGAAGGTAAACAAGGTTGTTTAATATATGCACATGCAACCATTACAGAGAGATAAGAAAGTGATCAGTTCAATTAATTTATTGAAGAGGAGAATTGACTCTGATTTATAAAAATGCAAATAGGGAAATAACCTCCAAGCAAGGCTCTTTAGTCTTGCCAAAATTGCATAATAAGATGGAGCAATTGAGAGCGAAAGGAGTTAAAATCCAGATGGGAAACAAGGCAACATCAAAACAGTGAAGAGCATTCATCGTGTGAACATTGTACCAATACCCACATCAGTTTCTTGATGGTTTCACAGCAACTTGTGAAATCTATCATGCTAAGTAGCTAACACATAATCTGCCAAAGCCACAGAGACAAGAGACTGAAATAAAACAAATTCCATGTGCACAGAATAATCAAGTACCACTGTTCCTATTGCTATTTGTAATGTACTTCACATGTGCAAACTTACTTCTCAAAGGTCCATCACGGATCTTTTAAAACCCTCTGGCAACTCTTACTTGTTGAGATTCACTAACTCAATGAGTAGCAAACAAGGCAGGAAATTCAATTTAGTAAACAACTGTGGTAGGATGATTGAGTTTAACAATCTTGTCTTTGTCTGAAAGAATTGCTACTAAATCAGAAGTGATCTCTGCTTGGCGATCTAAAAATCCCACTGTGTCATCTGTAGTTAACTTTCCTTCCTTTGCTGGAATGTCATTCTTAGTTTGTCTGTCATGCCACGCTGTCTCACTGTGTTAAAATAACACCACAGTTATGCACATTAGGCTTCAGATAGGAATGAGAAAATATGAATAATTAATTTAATAAAGATGCTAAAGTTATAGGAAGGTATTGTGTACTGCTCAATCAGAAGCTATTCATATCAGATTGTCAACTTTGCTGCCATTTATTCCAGCTGCACTGGATGCATATTAGACTCCTCTTTTTAAGGGATGCAAATGATTTTTCTATTAATTCCAAATTGAAACAGTGAATCAGGTTTGTGTAAACCCCCACTACTGGGATATGAAATAATTCCTAGAGAACATGCACTGAACATCTTCAGTACAGCATGATCTTCTGCATGGGGGAAGGCTGACTGCCTCTAACTGTCCTTCTACAAGATGCCTTACAGTCATCCTGTGTGCAAAACCTGCCAACACAGGGACAGAAATTATGCTTGTTCCAAACCTTTTTCCTCAAGGATGTAACCCATGGGGAGATCTGTCAGTAGGACCTGAACTTCCTCAGCTTTCAGTATAGCGGGACAGAATCGTAGAGGTTGGAAGGGAGCTCTGGAGACCATTTGGTCCAACCCCTTGCTAAAGCAGGTTCCCAGATGCCGGGTCTTTTGTTCTGTAACATGTAAGAAACATAGGGATGGTGGTGGTTTGGAGAAATCAAACTTTTTAACCTTTGATGTCAATTATATTGCAGTTCTACAAAATTAAATTGAAGGTTTACTGAAGTGAACATTAAATCTACTCACAAAGCATTTGAAGCACTGTCTTTCGACACTCTCATTATTAAAACATTGCTAACGACAAAGGGACGGGAATGAAAAAGATCCTAAGCAAGTTGTTTTGCCAGATCAAACTATGTATGCAACTGTATGCAACAACAGCATTTAGAAGAATCTGCTGCAGAATAGAAGAATTAACTGCAAGCTATACACATCCTGCAATCCACTGGAACAACAAAAGAAGGCCACCTTTTAATCCATATGTTTTAATGAGATATCCATATTTGGCTACGGCATTTCCTGACTCTCCTATTCCTTCAAGACCATTTTGAACCTCTTTATATTGTTATTTTGGGAGAGAACAATTGATTCTACAACTGTAGAATTTCAGAAGTTTCCAATTTCTTTTGCAAACTTTCAGACACAACCATAAAACATAAGTGAAATAACTCTGTAATAACATATATCTAAAAGTAAGTCTAGATGGCCAACTACTGAACTACATTCATCAACCAAACGATGCTCCAAAGACACCATTTATGGAACAGTTTACATGCTGACACTGTTCCTTCCATTTTTAAATCTTATGCCAGACCTAGGTGGATATTTTCATCCATCTGCCTTTTACAAGTATGGACATCTACTTAAGATTTTACAACTTGGTGGCACCAACAGATCCAGACAGCAATTTTCACAGATTTCTTATGTGCTCTTACCAACGTTAAGGTTTGTCACCTGCAGATTTTTTGTTATCTATTGTTGTTTTCTTTGGAGCAATTAAAAGGAGCGCTGGATTTGGGCTCTTTATACCTGTTGTAAGTATTAATACAGAACTGTAGAACAGCTGAGGTTGGAAGTGCTCTCTGGAGGCCATCTGTGGTCCAGCTCCTGCTCAAGCAATGATGGACACCCACAGCAAGTTGCCCAGGATCATGTCCAGGCAGCTTTTGGACATCTCCAAGGATGGAGACTCCATAACCTCTCTGGGTAACCAGTGTCAGTGCTCTGTCACTGTCAGGTGGACTTGTTCCCCGTGAAGATCAGAAACTCTACGTTTAAAGACAACCTGGCAGAGTTTCAGGGGCTACCAAATGTCCTAATATGAAGAAGATGAAGCTACATCCTGGGTGATTTACCTGCTTTTTATCTGGTGCAAGAGGGTGAAGAGTAGAGACAAGTCCTTGAGCTCCATGTTGGGTCCCACAGGACCCAGAACCCCTTTGGTAAGCCCAAAGTTTGCAAGACCACCCCATTTCATCTGGCTGTAAGACTGGCTAAAATGCAAATATCTGCCCCCCTGAGCAGGAGATGAGGAATACATCCATCAGTAACAGGAACAAATACATCCTGGAGTCAAAAGGCTGGCACTCACTGTTGATACCTGAGGCAAAGAAAATCAGCTTTCATGCTGAAGACAACACTAAAATTCTCCCATCAAAGGGATGCTTGGTACAATGGCTGATTTTAGAGCTGATAGACAAGCACAGAGTTTGCATTCCTCTGGCAAGACAGAAAATTACATGGTTTTGGA